TACCTTCAAATGTCACCAGTTTAAGCATAACCCTTGACAATGAAATTTAACATGCTTAGCTAGTGTTTCATTTTTCATGTTATTAGGCTATAAAATGGTTCAAGCATCAAAGTCTCAATCTGTTTGAAAATTGTAACCATAAATTTATTAAACAATATCATACAAATTGCATAACTATACTGGAGCCTTTTTGTGGATTAAAAAAAAAAGAATAATGTGGGATTCTTCCAAAAAACAATGAATTTAAAGACAACACAATATAAAAATAGTTCCTTCTACTTCTGTCAACAATGTGCATTTTTTGTCGAAATAAATAGAAATATTTTTCTTTTGATTAGCTTCTACTTTTTAATATAATATATATATATGCAAAATCAGTAATTAGCTGTTTAAGCATTCATACCTTAACTATTTAGTCAGAGATGATATGACATACATATAAGAATAAAATCATGATGTCATAAATTATATTGCTATACATTGGGATTGTTATTAGCATGCCATAGAACTTGTCAACACACATTAAAGATGTACAAGTCTATTTATTCATATAGGCTCCCTTTATAGTATAGTGAAACTCAGATATTATTTTTGAAATATTTAAAGGCCTTTTGTGGTTCAGTTTAATTTTAATATGAAAAAATAAAGGAAAGTTAAAATGAGTTTAAATTCTTAGTACCAAGTTAGCTGAAGAATCTTGAATATTAATTGTTTAGTATATTATCTTGATGGCAAGAGAAATTTTGATACATAAGCTTCTTTGATAAAAAACTATACAAAAGTTAAATATTTTTGATGGGAATATCATACTAATTTTGCATGTGTATTACAATTTGCAAGTTGTTATACAGAGCAGGTGAGGAGTGTTTACTAATTCTATGATGTTTTATAATTATAAAGTAGCTCTTACCTCTATAGCCACTATCATCAACCAAAACCTCTGAGGAGAACTTATGAGCTCTTTTTACATTACTAGATCTACTTCTTGGCTCCAGTGATTTTGAATTTGAAAAATTGTGCTGAATTTGGCCAATCATAGAGTCTTGCTGGAAAACAGAAAAGCGTGTTTAAGATGTGACTCTTATTCAAAATATCTATACAAGTTTATTAAAAAAATGTTTAGTTTGATAAATTTTAATAATTGCAGTTTCAATAGTTCTAAAACATGCAATAAATGTAATAAAAATTTATATGTATTAAAATATAATCACTAAAAATTGACTTCATTAAAACAAGTTTAATATGACTAAGTGAAAATGAAAAACTGTGTATGTGTACAGCAAAAGCTCTAAAAGTACTTTATAAAAATTAGTGGTGTATTCAAAGTGTGTTAAATCTGTTTTTTCAAAGTTTTAGATGTAGCCTTAACATATTTTTAAAAGATACAAATAGTTTATATAGAACCGACTTCAGCTGAAGATTATTAATAGATAAAGGGAGGTTTGAAAATAGAAGTGGTAAATAATTCTATCAAAAAAAGTGTTTAAAGTAAATGCCATTCATTATAAGCTATAATAGATATGATGCTGAAATGCTAAAAAGACAGAGGAATTTGCTTCCCATTGGTTATAGACTACAGAAAGTTCATATTTTTGTCACATTACCTAGAAAATGGTGGAATATCTTACAGGAAGTATCACGGCCATACACTTTGGTTCAAATCTAAAATGTGAACTTTCAATATTGGAAATACATTGTAATTTAACATTCAACTTAATAAAGTTTTGATTTTGACTCATTGCAGTATATACATAATCTATTGTTCTGACTGGCTAAACCACTCAATAACTAAAGTTCCTTATGATTCTAACACAAATTGTTAGATAAAACAGATACAACAAATTCAAATGCAACCAGAATATAATTTATAATTCCTCTTTTGTGTGATTACAATACAGACTATTTAATAAAAAATTTTTAAATTGAAATATCTACAAAGGATATAAACTGGGCACAAAATGTAATGCTATACACTAAATTATTTTAATATAATAAGAAATACATACTGGCACATGTCTGACCACAAAGGGAGGACGTAAATTTCTTGTAACTTTATCCTGTTGGATTACCTGACTTTTAGAAGGGCTTTCAACATATGAAAACTGTAAAATGATAAACAAAAACAGGTACAAAATTAATTACTGGTGCTAAAAGGAATAGTTTTAACATCTGTGTGTCTGTAGTTTCTTAACTATTTTTTAACTTTGGTAAATATGATGTTTTTTTATTCCTGTATCAATTTATCCTTAAAGGCAATTTTGAATAAAATATCAATATTTATGGCAGAAACATGTTGTGTCAAAAGTCTTAAAGCTTTCTTTTTTTTTAAAATAAAAAGTATAGTAAATTTTATAATTAAAATTCTATTATAGTGATATTACCATATTTTAAGGCTAAAGTAATGATACTAAACTATTATTCTTATTAGTTTATGACTTAAATAAAGCACATGTCCATTACTATTGCTGACGTAATAAAATTTTTAAGGTACAAAAATACATGAAACACCCAATCTATCAAACACTATACATATTTTCAGGTACAGTTTCGACTTGCACCTCTCCACACTCATTGAAAATAAACAGGCTGTATGATTCCTGTACAAAACTTCACAACAAAGACTAATCATTATTCCTTTACATAAATTATATATCATTTTAAACAGATTGTAGAAACTTCTTACACAGATTGTATGCTTTACTTGTGTAATATTTATGTACTGCTTTAGATTAAAGGTCTACAGACTTATTTCATACATGTATTATAAAAATAATCAGTTATGTTTCAAAAATGTGCAGGATTAACACTCCTAGGAAGTGGATTACACTTGTGTAAGACAGCTTAAACCTATTTATTTTTTGAAGTGTGATTTGCTAAAGAAATTTTGATATATTATCAAAATTACGTTTTGATGGATGTGAGATGATCTTGAGGAGGAGGATGTTTCTTCAGTTGAATACCTTGTAGACTCTTTGATTACAGAAGATGTGGAAAACTCCATTTTAGGTGATATTATTCCCTGAAAAAAGGGAAAACATGTTTGACCTATAAACAATGCACATAATATTCCCAGAAATATGTACTTTAAAAATACATAAAATGTCATTCAAATGAAATTGGTTGATAGAAATTACAGTTTTCCAACTAAATATAGTTCATACAAAACCAGCTGTTCAAGTAACAGATGATACAAATAGCATCTCAACCATTACTATGTCTGTCACGTCCAAGCTGGCCTGAAGAATCCTGGTATTGAATGAAAGGCCTCAACAGCACTGAATATAGCAGATGTAGTGTAGTTGATATATTATTACATACTTCTTTACTTTTGTAAGTTTTGATAATTCACGTGACCTTAAAATATTTTTCTCAATTGGTTATTCTTTTACACGGAGGAAGAAAATTATATAATTAGAAATATATTTTCAGTGCAGTAAGATATTAATTTCCAATATTGTATCTTACCTCCTTTCACACAGAATCCCATGTTGAAAAGGTGGAAGGACTGGTGCAAAGTTACCTAGATAAGCACCTTTCAGCTTCATGTGCTACCAGAACTTACAAGTTGCAACCCACAAACGGTACGCTGGGGGTACCCCAGCCAACCAGAGTACATGTCTGTCAGTCCAACTGCTTGTAATACTGAACACACAAGCCTCAGCTTGATGGAGGAAGTACGCTGGTGGTACCTTGACCAGTTAGTACATTGTGTCCATGGTAGGACAAAGGCTCCCAACCAACACATGTGTGAAGATATATGTTAGCTAGTACAGCTCTAATCCAAAACCTATTCTCCACGAACTGATATTTAGGTGAGACTTGGATAAGGGGCCCCAATTGGAGGAGTGAACTGCATTATGGTAGATCTACTCCAGATTCTGAGGGGAAATCTGTACCAAACACCACTGCCCTATTCTCTACTGAATGGAATGAAGAACATTCAGGAAGAAGCCTCCATGGTCTACCACCCCAGCAGCTAGGAACTGGTAAGTGTTAAGAACTCCTATACTCCACTTGAAGAAGGAGGTAGATGCTTTGGAGAGTCTGGAGGAATGCTGATACAGGAAACTGTGCAATGGGTGGCCACAATAACCCTATTTTGAAAAGCAGACCATCCCTGATTTATTCAATCAAAGGGAGGGGCAGCCATTCCCTTCTGCTTTACTCATGATAGTGCATGAGTCAGTACAGTCTGGTATGAGCATAATTATAAATCAATATATCATGAGAAGAATCTACTACCAGTCTTGTGAAACACCCATCTCAACAGTGTGTATTATACGCCTAGAGAGAGAGGTATATATATATATATATATATATTAATGGGTGGGGCATTCCAGCCAACCACTTGCCTAGTCCAACTCCTTCCTACACCATCCTCCACATCTTAACCCATCAAAGGTAGTGCACCAGGGGTATCCCAGTATATATACTCTGATCATTATAGGATGTACGTATACCTGTACTGGCACCACTTGCCAATGAATGAGATCCACTACCTATAAGAAAAGTGATCCTATAGGGGAAAATTGGAGAGAGAGAGAGAGAAAAGTAAACTTACCGATTCATAGTTGAACCATCGTGTGTAGAATGACAACAGGTGGAATACGATATCCAGATGAGGAAGAAACAACCACATGATATAAGTAATGGAAGATGAACGTGTTCAGTGTAATCCATAACTGTATTGGGATATTAATGTTTTTCTCTACACCTTTACCCTTCCTCTCTTTGAACCCTTGGCTACCTGTTCCCTCTACCATCTCCCCCTTAAAAACAACTTCCTACTCCTTTTAGCCTGTGGAAGTCGGAGGTTGGACATATTTGTGATCGATGTTTCACATACTATTTACCACCACACCAGTGTTCTCCTTTATCTGGATCCTTCTTTCCTTCTCAAAACATTGGTGGCTCGTGAGGGCAGCTCTTCTTTTATGCCAATTTCCCTCTCTTCCATTTCACATTTTATACTCCTGTTCAGGTCTGGAGAGACTTCTGTGTCAAGTTTGTGCTCTTTATTGTGATGTTGCCCACATGGCTTCCTTCCGTGGGTCTCAATCCCAGTTATTCATTTGCTGGTTCCCATCCTTTCTTCTAGACTTTCACCCTATACCCTCATGGATTGGATTCATCAGCTTATTAGGTTAGTAGATACATCCTTTTCACCCAATTCCCAATGTCTATTCCAAGTGTCATCTCACCAGACTTAACACCATAACTTTTCCCTGGCAGTTAATCTGCATCATCCTTTAGAAGAGATCATCAAGTTGGGTGGAGGGAAGAGAACAATCAATCCAGAAGGAATGCAACAAAAAGGAAATGGTGGGAGAGGAAAATACTTAGCAGTACTTGGTAACTCATAAGGTGTTAGATAAGGCTGCTTGATATTCTGAAATAGAAGATACTGAGAAGTCATAATAAAATAGCCAGGTAAGGAATTCTGCAATTTGAAGCATAGTCATCAGGAAAGACAGAACCTATGGTGCAGAGACCATCAGTGAAAATTCTGCTACTTTCTCTCATAAATCATGAGTGAGGAAGGGCAAACAGAAAGGGATAAAATGGATGCTACACATGTGGATAATCTAGATCTTATCTCAAGCAACCGGACAAAAGCCACATGTGAAGACAGTGTGTGTGTGAAATGCAGGATGTAGAACTAGTGACCGAGGTTGATGGAGGAGGGATGGTAAAAGAGATAATGGGGAGTCAGTTTAAGGTGGGTGAGAAGTGGGAATCAGGGCTGTGCCAGCCACAAAGGTGCAATGAGAACTACCTAAGATGGAGTGGACTGTTTGATGGATATCACCCTAAGTAGGAGTCGGATTGGAGGATAGGCACATAAGTACAAGTTGGTCCAATCTTGACCAAGAACATCCACAGCCAAGGCCTGGGGATGAAATACTGGAGACCATAATAGAAGCAGTTTGGAGTTGTGATGTGTGACAAATACATCCAAATGAGGAGTAACCCCATTGTGTGCACAGCCACTGGAAAACATGAGGGTCGAGGGACCAATCTATGGGTAAAATTTGGTTTGGATGAGAAAGACCATCTGTGACCAGATTAAAGGCACCCCAAACATGACATGCAATGAAGCATGTGTGAAAAGCATGGATCCAAAAAATAGCTCAAACATCTGGAAACAGCAAATAGGAACAGGTGCCACCATGATGATTGATTTACGAGTCAAATGTCAAATTGTCGGAATGGATCATGACTAATTTGCCCCAAAATGAGGGAAGGATGTGATCCAAAGCTCAATGAATAGCCAGTAGTTCCAAGATGTTGATGTGTAGAGTCAACACGATCCGAAACCTGCTGATGCATCAAACTTGCCTCCCAACCTCTGAGTGAGGCATCTGTGAACAGGTGCAACTTGGGGCAAGGAGGTGGAAGAGGTACACGCATTGTGGTGTTGTCTCTGTATAGCCACCATGTGAAATCATCCATTAGGGACAGTGGGAGTTGGATAATGGAGTCCAAGGAATCCCTGGCAAGGTTCCTTTGATCGTATAGCATCCAATGAAGATTGCACATGTGAGCACGACTTAAGGTATATGTGCTTCTACGGAAGTCCATGTCCCCAAAAGTGGAAGAGTAGGTGAGGTAATGGCCTTGGTGACTAACAGCTCCATCAACCATAAACGAAGGGGAGATGGTCGGATCCGACTGAGGTAGAAGTTGAAAAACACTCATAAGTGGATGAGACATAGGGAAAATACAAGAAAGGAATTCTCCACCTTTATGACCTAACCAACATGAACTGCTTCTCTCAAAAGCAACTGTGTGTTCATGTTCTACAGGTTCTTATGGAGCCAGCAGGAACCAGTTGTCCATACAATCATGGAGTGTGAAGTAGTCAAGGAAAATCCCTGACTAATTGATAAAACACATAAGGTTCTGTGGCCAGCCTTAAAGGAAATGTGCAAAACTGACAAACCTGACCCCTGTGAATGAACCGAATATAGTGTGGAGGTAAGCATCTGAGACGTACCTGGAGTGAATACCCATTTAGTAAAATGGGGAAGCTATGAAATGACTGAGCCAAGACAAATCTATCACTGGATGCCAATACCCATTTTTTTTTGGAACTACCAACAACCTAGAGAGGTGTGACTGACTGATTCTATAGCATCCTTGAGTGGAAGAATCTGGACTGCTTCAGAGAGACACTGGCAAGTTGTGAGATCCCAAGGAAGTGAAAGGACACAGGAACTGGTGATAATGGAGGGTGGGTGGGGGGGGGGGGAGGTGGATTAAGAGCACCTGTAGAACCCAAGGATCAGAAATGAACTCCCCCCATAGGTGAACAAATCTGGAGAGGTGTGCACCTACCCTGCCAGAATCCACTAGGTAGTCACCAGTGTATCATTGGTGGCACGTGTTCCAGCAGTGAGAAATGAAACGGCTCACTGTGAAAGCCCTGGCAAAAGGAAAAGGCTGGGAAGATGTGGGTTGAGAAATGGTAATGGGAGAAGGGGCAGGTGAGGTCTGAGACAACCTGGAAACCAAGGGAGAATGTTGTCATGCAGACTACACCTGTGACTCGAGAGCTTCAGGGACATCACAAAAAACAGATCTGCATAAAAATGGTACCACTCAAAGATCATGCACATAAACTGAGACAAAAGTGCACCCCTACCCAGAATATCCCAGCAGCAGAGGAGCCATGTTTAGAGAGAGAGGGCCAAGTAGGATAAACATGCCATGCACAATATGAAGGTATAAATATCCACCAAAAACCCTGCAGAGGATCAGTGGAGAGCCTCAGTGAGGTAATGGATGGTAGACAGGTACTGTCTGAGAGAATTTAGGATATGCCAGAGTCTGGAAAATTGAGCCTGAGAATACCTAACCAGTGACTCAGGGTTGGACCCCTGCACTTACATTAAAGACTACAGGTGTTGGAAGTCTAGAAAAGGGAAATCTACTTGGTGATAAACCACAGGAAAAAGATCCAAAGCTTGAGGAAGATGAGGCATGCTATATCCAGCATATAACTGAACCTCAAACTGGTCAGCATGGACCCTGATATGAGGAGAGGGAGGAAAACAAGGTATTCTTATGTGGGAATAGTATGTAAAAAGGAAGGTGTAGGGTCATATGAGACAGGGTACACATACAAAAGGTAACATACCTGTGAAATCATGTCCAAAAAAGGCAAAGGGAGGCCTGGCTGCTTCCACAGGTAACGTACAAGATTGCACAGTATAGGAGGCAGGAGGAAAAAGGCTCTCCAAATCCTCATTGTCAAGACCAGGTTCTTCTGGACAGGAAAGATCTTGTCCAGGTTTGGAAGAAGCCAGTTGTCTCATGTAGTGTTCAAGCTCCAGTCAATCTAAGGTCAAGACCTCCTGAGCCTAAGGTGTAGAACATGAAGCCTGAGAAATGGCATTCAAAGTAGTAGTAGTCACTCTAGTAGCAGTCATGATACAAAATTCCAAATTCATGGTTCAACTGAAATAAATTCACCAAATTAAGTAGTGAAGAAAAAAACAATACAGTTAAGTTTCTTCCAATTTGAGAAACAATGCAAAAGAAATTAAGTGAGTGCAAATGTGAAAAAAAAACAAACAAGTGAAATTCAACAACATCTGACACGATAGTGCCTAAATGAGAAGTGAAGGTTAGGCTGAATAGTATAGAGGGAGTAACTTGTGTTGGGAGAGTGTGTCATACTCATATTGGTGGAGGATTACCACATACTTATTTCCATGCAAAGACACAGTAGAACCACATTGAATGTGGGGTGGGTTAAAGTTTCAAAGTTAGTGGTGAACCAAAAAATTGCATGTATAGGGGGCAGCACTGAACAAGAGAAGATGTTATGTGAAAAGAGGTAAGATGCCATATAGGAGATTTTTATTTCGTTTACGGATTCAACATAACATACTACAAAGGCTTGTATAACAAGGTTGCCAAAACTGTAGGGTATAAGAGCAAAAACATTGTATAACATTCAATATTGTTTAAGTGCTTAAACCTTTTAATTGCAGATGAAGGTGTATACATTGAATTGGTCCAAGGTGCAGCTACTAGTAGGAATGAAAAAGTTTTAGCAACATACAGCTGCAGTGCTCGAGATTTCCTTTTTCCTGTTCCTATCCTCCGCCCTGCATACAGCAGTTTTGGGCGAGAAATTCTTCTGGATGCTACTTCAGAATTCCCAGTAAGAAATCACACCAACTAATTGGATAAATTTCTGTCACACCACTTACACCAATAACAAATGTACATAAAAAAACAAGAAATTTAGTACTTATGTCTTGACTTCAGGCTTTTTCACATAAACAGACTGAGCACTGTAGGTCTACTTTTTGTAAGGGTATTAGTCGTCCACAATATTATTAATCTTTATTTTATATATGCAATTTGGAACAGTATGTATCATGCACAAAAAATAAACTGTCCTAAATCTATTATAAATCAACTGGCTTTCTAAATAATCTATAAATAAGTTAAAAACTCTGCAAGGTAAACAGTGAAACTGAGGCTATATATTCCTAGCCCGATGCTTAAAAAAATTAGTATCCAAACAAATGTTGTAAGAAAACACTAAGAAAAAGTTACTGCCATTTTTTGAAAGACAAGATGGGATAGGAGGGGTATATCATGTGGGTTTGACTTTATTGTTTATATCTCAGTGAAGCAAGAAGTTTGTAGGCTATAAGTTTAGATTATGACTTAGAAATATCCACAAATCAGTGTGTGATTGGTGGCACACTCAAAAGATCATATAGGAGTAAAAAGAAAATCTAAAATGGGCAATTCAGAGAGAAGAAGCATCACAGAAAAGTAAAGATTGAGGATTTACTTAAATATTTCTTTTCAAAATTGAGACTTATTTAATACTAACATTTGAACTATAAATTATGTTTTGATGTCAAGTTTATTGAAATACATTGAGAATAAAGTTGTTTAACTGAATTTTGGATGTAACTCTGTAAAAAGATCATGTCATATACACTTTTGCCCTCCCATGCTCATAGGATTATTCTTACAGTTCATATCACAACTCTACAAACTAGTTTTTATAAACTAAATTTCACAAACTTAGATCTAAAAGTTATATTCTAATATATCTTCAACTATGAAAAATACTACACTCAAGGATCTTTAATTTTATTGTAACTCTAACTGATGGTTTATTTTAAATTAATGCTTTTACTGACATAATGTAGATCTATTTCTATAAATGTGAATAATAACAGTTGTATGAAATTTAAATTATAAATTGACTGATTATCTTTTTTTTTCACAATATTATTCACATTTGTCAATACTAAGTCAGATAGGAAAAGGAATCATTTATAAAATAGTAAATAAAGTAACTTTTGTCAAATTTAATATCTAACCTATATAAAAGCCAACGTGTGTCATGTCACGTCATGCTAAATTTCTCGAAATAGGAAGAATCATAAAAGCGAAAATGCATTTATCCAAATAGAATAGTTCGATTCCTGTCTGCTCATTATGATTTTTGTGATGGGTGTGCCATGAAACCTGATAACTGTAGTGAGTGTTGGTATAATAAGCCTAAAGTAAAGACGTAGCCTAGATCCAAGTGCATAAAATTTATCATGAAAGTAAACATAGCAATTCAATTTTAAATTTAAATTGTTTCTGAATTAAGATATTTTCTGTTATATAACTAACATATTCAGTAAAAAACCAACATCTTTAATCAACGGAGACTCTAAGTTAAAAAATCAACAAATATTTTTCCAGTTTTTTGTCTATACATTTCATTTTATACTTTCAGTACATAGACTAACAACAATATAGGTTATAATTCTGTTGCTAAGCAACATGAAATAAAATCTACTGTTGGAACATAGTGTTATCAAAACGTACTGGCTTTTGTATATATTAGAAGTTGTTAATCTAACTGATTTTTACTAATAATTATTCTATGAATACACCACAAATTCATTTCATTAATGATCTTAATTTTGATTGACTCACAAAGGAATTTACTGATGTTTGACTGCCTCAACTGCACTTTTCTGCTTGTTTGGTGGTCAAGCTTGATTTTGCAAAATTTATTTGTCTCAGTTAGCTACGGAATGTGAGGTTAAGGTATACTATGGTAGGCAAGTTATTTTTGATGGGCTATGTATATATATATGCTAGTAGTTATCATAATTCTCACTTGTAATAGAAAAGCAACTTCCATGTTGTTAAAACTAGGTATTTGCTTTTTCAGACAAATGAGTGTTTCGCTTAGTGAAGAAAAGTTTTCTGTAACAATTGATCCATAGTTTCAGAAAAGAGAAAGAATGAACTTTTTTTATCGAACTTCTAAATTCAAAACTCATGGAATAATATTCATATTTATAAGAAAATGAATGCTGTACCTTCCAATTTTTCTGTCACAGCAGCTGGATCAGAAGTTTTTGGAAATGCCTATATAAAGAACAAAGACTGATTGTTTGTTTTGTATTCTATCATAATTTAGGGTAATCAGACACAATAAAAATACAATTTTACCGATTAACCTGTATGTTCAAGGAAAATATTTAAATTCAGTGATATAAACTAGTAAACTAACTTTGGTATGTATATGTACGAAACTTTTTATTTGTTACATGAATTAACATTAATGTTATAAATAAACAGTCCATACCAAATGGTGAAAAGAGTAAGAGTTAAAAAAATTCTAAAATTGCCAAGGTTTATATTAGATTTTCATCCACCATACTAATTATTTTTTAAAAATCCAATAATATAACTTGTGCTTGTCCCTAGCTATCAGGTTTTTAAATATGACAATATAATTAACTATATTACAAGTCTTGTTTCCTGCTGTTAAGGAAATTAATGCTCTAGTAACTCTACTGGTAGATCATCAACCTGAGAACATTATAGCCTGGGATAAAGCCTCAGTCGGGACAGTTGTTTTTCGCTTAATTGCAATCATTACAAGTAGTTACATCTGAATATGAAAACAAATTAAGCCTCTTCTGTGACAATTTCAATGCACTGTAAGTTAATAGAAAATTATAAAAATAATATGAAAGTTATAATTTTCCTATACTGAAAATATATTTCCTATAGGTATTTACCTCTTGTCACATAAATAGCTATTCTCATTCAGTGCCGCCCTCTATATGCAAAAAATTTTTTCACATGCCACAAGCCTTGAGCTCTCACGTACCTTACAATCAACTGGTTCAAATACATCTCGCATGTAAATCATCATGCAACAACCCTCCACCAATAAGAGTGTGATTCCCCCTATTTGATTCTACTGAACTATCACTTTGAGTTTTGACAGAAAATGGAGAGAAGCATGCATATATATTCAATGGAAATATACGACAATGTGTCATAATATAATTGCATATGTATACAAATGAGCATTTTAAATATTTCTTATAATTGTTATATTTTCCCCCCTTCCTTCTCCTTCTCTCTGCTGGCCATAGTAAGGCCAGTCATGATTTTGCTGCAGCTGGCCAGATTTCCTCTTAGAGCGACATTCTGTACACTCTACAAGGTCTAAAACATGTTAATTTACAATTATGTATTGATTATATTAATATGTCATTATCCCCTCCATTTGTGATGGAGTTTGGGTTGTGACATTTCTATGACCCTCTTCCACTGTGATGACCCTAAATCCTGGTGGGCCATTGCTGCTACAAACTTTATCTGAAATTAAATATGTTCTAAGTAAAACATATAGCTGCAAAATTTTTACCTCACTTTTCCCGAGAATTGCAATCATTTTTTGCCATCTCCTGTTTGCACAATTCTTGCCGCTCCTTATAGTCAGCTTAAAGGATGGCTACTCTATGTGCAGTAACTATAAAATTTGCAATCATGCAGTGTTGGCTATAAGTTGACACTACCACCAGCCATCACCGTGATTGCCGATCTGGTGCTTGAAACTGAGATTGGTGCTATCTTTTAAACTATGGCTTAAAGATTTTTGTTGTGAGTGACAGCCTAGACAGTTATACAACGTTTTAGACATTTGTGTAATATTTAGATATTTGTGTAACATGGCCGAAATGAATCATGCAATGGTAAAAAAAAATGTGATATTGTCAGCAACTTCATGTCTGAAATGCCATGAACCCTATACATAAACAAATGATACACAACATCAATACTGTTACAACAATAAGTTAATAATTGCTATGGTACATGTGTCATGCCTGCCATATAAACATTAAATCACATCCACAGCCTACAAACAGCTATATATGTGCGCATGTAATATATAATGAGGTCCCATATAAACCACAGACTACAATAAAACGATTGGGTGCCAACAGTTATACAGTCACTGTTATTTGCTAGGTAGTCAAATATACTTTAAAATTACTCTACACAATGTGCAATGATGCATTTAGTAATAATGCCCAGGCTTTATCACAATACTTACAGCCATTTTTGCTCTAGCCTGGTGGAACAATATCAAATAATAATAATTAAGAACACATGGACAATCCCTATTATGAACCACTGCTGTGGTTTATGATAATGGAAAATATTTACAATATTAAATTTTACATTTATTAAAGTGAA